AGAATGCCAAATTATAGCCACTTCTTTCGGCGAGATCTTTAATTTACCTTATATCGTACGGGATCCATATGTCAAAATGCAGTCGTTTCTGTTGGAAACTGTCACTAGAATCAAAATATCTTAAATCGACTGAGGCCCTTATATGTGAACATTTACCTACATCGAAAATGGTCTGCCAAGTTGTCTTTTATCCTTTTAAACTACGAAATGGAAAATTATAGCCACTTTGATTGGAAAAATATGGCTCAGATCTATAAGAGGTTGGAAATGGGCGAGACCTATTATATATAGATATTTTGCCAGGAGCACCGAACATGGTGAATTCCGTTCTGTGGCTGGAAAATGCGATTAAGACCTTAAAGTACCAAGAATGAAGCAGAAGCCATTACTAAGAGGACCAAGTCAACATATGGACTTATATTAACACATTTTTACCAGGAGTCCCATATGAAGAAACCCCCTGCTTAAAAATCTTTCGAAATTGTGACTTTTAAATAGAAAACCGAATTCTGTAACGAAAATTCTCCCGATATGGCCTACAGATTATCTACTGTCCATGAAGACTTCTAGAAGGTGTATATGAAAGACATGGTGCGACCATTATGCACTCCTTTAATCGATAGGGACTCTTATATTAGGGCTATGTCAAAACATAGGTTTATATTGAAAGCGTTTCGCTTAAAAATGTTCTTATCCTCAGACAGCCGACACTGGCGAGTTACTACCACTTCCGGCTGAAAATACGGATCTACGATGAAAATGTTCTAACAGAAGATCATATCGAGCCATATTCGCCAAAAAAAAACGTAACCCTCAAATTTGAAATTTTACAGGAGAAGGTTTTTTTAGACCAATGTCCTTCTACAGGTATTTCGTAGACAGAAGGTCTTCCAGAGGTGTACTAAAGAAATTCGATTTTCTATATAACAGTGCAGTGATTTTTTCTACATTTTTAAACTGAAGTGGCTATATCGAGCCATATTCGCCAAAAAATGTAACCCTCAAATTAAAAATTTTACAGGAGAAGGTTTGTTTTAATAAATTCAGATTTAATAAAGCTATTATTTTGCAATATTATAACAAAACTGTAGTTCTAAATTTCGAAATAATAGCTTTATTAAATCCGAATTTATTAAAAAACCTTCTCCTGTAAAATTTATAATTTGAGGGTTACGTTTTTTTGGCGAATATGGCCACTTCAGTTTAAAAATGTAGAAAAAATCACTGCACTGTTATATAGAAAATCGAATTTCTTTAGTACACCTCTGGAAGACCTTCTGTCTACGAAATACCTGTAGAAAGGCTTTGGTCTAAAAAGGTCTGTGTGTGAAGTACGTCTTTTAGAATATATTCTTTTTTATATAGGACTTCTGTTTTTGGTAAAGTATACTATAGAAAAACTTAGAAAAGTATTTTATATATGGAAAACCTTTAGAATGTCCTACTTCAATGGAAGACAACTAGATGGTCCTTCGTCTATGAAATACTTGTAGGAAGTCACTTGTAGAAAAGCCTTACGGAAGGTCCTAATCTTGTAAAAGGATTTGGTCTATGAAAAACCTTTAAAATATAGGAGACTATAAAGGGGGGTTTATGAAAGATCCATAGATGTTCATATGTATAAATATGGTATCCAAACAATTATAAAGTGTCAGTCAGTGATGCCGACACATCTATACCCGCAGCCTAAGGCTTGCGAAGGTCACCGAATTACCACACAATATGAAGAGGTTCCAGAAGGCGTTGCTGTATTGAAATATATGTTTGAATGTTTGTGGGGGAGGTACCAGAAGGAGTAGACTAATGGGACCCATCTTAAGACTTGATCTAACTAAGGTAAAATCATTAGGACGTGGAAAGTACTATACAAAGTCTTCTCTCTATGGATGGTCTATGTATGATTTCCGTCTATTAAAAACATGTATATGGAAGTCATCTAAAACATTTTCTGTCCATTGGAGAACTGTAGAAAAGTATGTTCATCTTATGGAAGACCAGTAGAAGTTATTTTCCTATAGAATTTTTACTTTCTATAGAAGATTTTTATGAGACTTTCCGTCTATGGAAAACTTGTAAATTTTTTTCTATCCATGCAAAATGTGTACAAGGATTCAGTTTATTGAAATCTTCACTAAAATTTAAAATTATTTCGTAGTCTTCCTAAGACCCATTTGGTCTACTATCTACGCACGACCACCTTGTGTCTACGGAAGACATGTAGAATTTTACTGACTATGGAAGACCTGTAGATGTTTTTCTTCAGTGAAAGATCTTTTGGTCTTTCGTCTTTTGGAGTACTAGAGGTTATCTGTGGATAACCTCTAGAAGGTATTCGGTCTAAGGTTATATAGATCGTCTTCTCTATAAAGATGACATATAGATGACTAGAAAGAATTCTGTTTGTGGAAGGCCGGTAGAAGACATAATATCTATGTAAGATATCATTGCAACAATCGAAGACCTACATAATTGTTGCTGTATAAGGAAGATTATAGGAGGTTATATGTCTATTGAAGCCCATGAAATATCATTATTTTCAATTAAAGGATTTTTCAATTGAAGATCTTAAGATCTACCTATATACATAGTGTTTAATATAAAGGTGATCTCCTTAATTGTATTTCCTACAGTTTTCTGTTGAAGGTATACTACCTATACAAGACCTACCCCTGTCTATTGACGATCTGTAGAAGGGCATTCGTCTTTGGAAGACCTAAAGAAAATTTCAGATTATGGAAGGCTAATAGGAGGTATTTTCTCTAAGGTGTTATATTAGAAGGCCCATATATCGTCTTCTGCACAATTATGGTTTTCAGAAGATTTCTGTGGTATTTGAAGGAAGTCTTCGGAAAACCTATAGAGATTCCATTGGAGAGTTCTGATTATGGAAGACTGATCTTATATTTATAGAGGTCTCATACGTTGTCCTTTGTAAATTATGACTTTCAGAAAGTTACTTGTAGTCTCACTAGACCTCCACTATGTCTTCTGTTTTTAAAGAGGTTATATTTATAGAAAGTCCACATATCAACTTCTTTAATGATGCCCTCTCGAAGGTGTCTTCGTAGTCTTCCTAGAACGTATTATGTACCTCCAATTGAAGGCCTTCAAAATATTTATACCCTACACAACTATGTTTTCAGGGTATTATAGCTTTGTGCAGCCCCAAAAGTTTGTAACGCCGCGAAATATTGGTCCTAGACCCACCTTTAAGTATACCGATCGTCATATCTCGACTAGCTGAGTCGATCTAGACATGTGTGTCCGTCCGTCTGTCCGTCTGTCCATTATAATTTGTAAACATGATACAGGCCACAGTTATAAACCAATCTTCACGAAATTTTGCATGTATGATAGGTTCTGGCCAATGAAGACCCCTATTGTTTTTGGGAAAGATCGGTTAATATTTAGGGGATGAAATGGACCAAATACTAAATTTTTGTCGGTTTTTCTGGTCGCTCCAGAGGCCGCAACAATGATCCGAACATCGTGAAATGGAGAAGCGGATCGGACCAAAGAATAAGCATGCCTGTTTGGAGAAAGATCGGTCAATATTTAGCGGGTCAAATGGACCCTGACTTTCGTGTGAAAAATGACAAAATTTTTATTCTATGGCGTATATATTTACCCATGAAGGACATATATTGATATTATATCCAAGAGGAGTTGTTGACCTTTAAATTAAGACCAATTATATTGTTGTATGTGCTCGGATGTGGGAGTTACACCTAAATATTTACAGGTATCTCCGTATTCGTATATTATTTAGTAACCCATTATCACTCTAGAGAGCGGAACTATAGCGCTGATCGCTTTGAAATGTTCCATGAGGTTCCAGTTATGGTCAAGGACAACGCCTATAATTTTCGGTGATGATCAGATAATAATTTTGGAATGAAGTGGACAGAAAACTTTATTTTTTGTGTTATATTCGAGTCGATGTATAGACCTCAAATGAAAGGCGAACATCACAACACAACCTACGGTGAAGGGAATGTGGACAATAGCTGTACTGAATACTCGTAATATTCGGAAAATATATCAGGGTGAGGAAGAGGTGCTGTTTACCTCTAATCGGGCAAGAGGGTGCAAATATCACGAAATATTGCCCAGTCTCGGAATAAACATCCGCAGAAAATTTGAGTTCCGTGGTAGTTGTGTAGGGTATCGTATGGTCGGCCCCGTCCGACTATACTGCTCCGCTCACTGGTTTATATTTATAAAAGGTATAAAAATGAACTACAGAGGATTACTTTGTAATCTTTCTAGATTTTATATTAATATTAGGTTTAGGAAAAGGGAATCCATTATTTTTATAAGAACCATAGGACTTTATTTAACATGCTTCGGAATATCCGATTTGGGCCAAATATGCACCGTTTTGTTGTATGATTTATTGTCATTTTAAAGGTAACTTCATATTGCTCTCTCATAGAAGTCCTGCTCTCTATTTGCAAAAAACTCTAGTAGTCGATTTTCACAATCCTCCCTAGATACCAGTTTTTTTTTATCATTAAAGAAATTTTGCAATGCAAGAAAAAGATGATAATCGCTCGGTGTCAAGTCCGGACTGTATGGCAGATGTATTAAAACTTCCCAACCAAGCTCCCGAAATTTCTGGCAAGTCACCTCTCCTGTTGGCCAATTCTGGCCGTTTCTGGTCAATTGTGATCTTCAAACGGTCCAGTTTTTGACAGTAGAGATCAGAATTTAGCATTTGGCCATATGGAAGCAACTCATAATAAATAATCCCCTTCCAGTCCCACCAAATGCATAGCAGAACCTTCCTGGTCGTTTGTTCTGATTTGGCCACCTTTTGAGGTGCTTCACCGCTCTTTCACCACGATCGTTTTCGCACAGGGTTATCGTATGTGATCCATTTCTCATCTTCAGTCACCATCCGTTTAAGAAATGGGTCTATCACATTCCGTTTGGCCAAGGCTTCCCGGATAAAAATTCGATCCATCCTATTTTTCTGTTAATTGGAATGGCACACAAACATCGAGCTTCTTCTTGCATCCAGCTTTGGTTGTTAAAAACAGTTTTATGGTTGATTTTTAGACCCTGGGCGATGTCACGACTGCTAACATGCCGGTCAACTTCGATCATTCTGATTTTATCGAACTTTTCATAATGAATTTATTTTTCCCCAACCTAATATAAACACACAGATGTTCTTCTGCGTAAAAATGACCTGCATCTCCTAGACTGTATTTTGTTTATGGACGACCTGTTGTATATCTATGTATTACCTATGCAAGACCTCTAGAAGTTTTACTATATATGGATGATTCTTAGATGTTTTGTATAAAGAAAGCTTGTTGAGAGTATTTTACCTCTGAAAGGTTTTATTTGTATACAAGGCCTACACATCATATTCTAAGCGTGTATGATGTTTATGGAACAACTTTTGAAAATCAACTATATATTTGAGTCCTCTAGATTGTCTTCCCTTTGTGGATGATTTGTAGTTTTTCCGTTTAAAAAATGAGTTCTGCTTATAGTAGACCTTCAAAAGATCCTCTGACTATGAAAGGGTTTTAAGATAATATTTGTTTATACAAGATCTGTATAAGGTTCTCTGTATATGGAGATTCTCTAGAAAGACTTCGATTTATGCAAGGCCTCCAAAAGATGCTATGTCTGAGGCAGCCATCCAGAAGAGCATCTGTCTAGTTAAAACCTCTAGAAGGCCTTTTAGACCTCTGGAATGTCTTACGCCTATGGAAGCTTCTAAAAGAGCTATATAAGTACTATAGGAGCCTTGTAAAAAGTCTCCTGCTGTCTGTAATACACACATTGCTCTTTAAAAAACCCACACAAATTATTTCCACAATTATTGTTCTCTGTAAGTCCTTGTCATACACAAACAACCAAAAACAATCATACGGATTAATTTTTCTCACCATAATACTGGTCTTTATTAAAACGACTTTAGAAATGATAACAAGAAACAAAAACAACAACGATTATCTCTTTTTCATTTTCACTTAACTGATAATTAGTTCGTCTTTATGCAATATCATTCTGCTCGTCTGTCTATCAGTCTTTCTTTACGTCTGACTGTCAATGCTATTGTTCATGTCATTGTTTCCCGTGTAAGGTCCTTGATTTCATTTTTAAGGACTTGTTGGTTTGAAGATAATCACATCAGCAGCTCAAGATAGATAAAGGGCGACTAAGAAAGATGGGAATAGCAACAAAAACATTGCATGTGGGTTTTGAAACACGTTAACACATCATGATGCAATGGCGTAGCTGGAACACTCTCTAGGGGGAGGGTAGGTAGCTTCCATATCTAGAAGCTTCAATATAAACTGTTAAGAGCATTTGTCTAGCAATTATGTGAAGAGTAGTACTGAGTCATTATTTCCATTAAAATAATGAAACCTGACTACGTCCATGACCCCACCCAGTCATCTATAAAAAACAACCGACCCGGCACCATTCCCTTTTGTTTAAATTACCAAGATGAAAATAGATTCTATTTCATTTGTCTCCATATTTCGCTTTAATAGAAATTCTAGTTTTGCTTTACTTTTTTCCACTTTTCCATTTTTAAGCGGCTGAAGGTTTTTCCTTCACTTTCACTGCTCAGAACGAGCGAGCGAGCGACTGGTTTTGACTACTGCTGGTGGATAAACTAGGACAAATGAGATGATGACGAAATACCGGTATGTAGGATATATGATTATTGTGTTGCTTATTCTGTTTTTTACATCAGGCTCTTGGCCATTGCCATAGCAATGGCTTACAACAAAAAATTTTCGCAACAACAAAGAAAAGAGAAACAAAAAATTAATACTGATATCTGTTTGGCATGGCAACATATGATGGATGGACTGCCTACCTATAACGAAGGTATTTTATTTTCTGTTCAAGTTAATTGTGACATTGACCTGCCGTCCTTTTTTCTGATTTTTTGGTGTGGTAAATGTCTGCATAATTGCAAAAGCAATCAGTGTGAATGCCATAACCAAAAACAATTTTGGAATACTAAAAAATAACTGTTGCCGCAAAGTTATCTACATGACGTTTCATTTTTTCCGTAACGCGGAAGGAGGCAATGATGGGCAGAAATAGATAAATGCTGTCTAACACAATCTTAAAAAGTATGTATTTTATTTATGGACCTTGAAAAAATATTCATTCAAAAAATCCACGCCGTGTTTAGGCCTTAAAAAATATTCATTTAAATAATCCACGCTTTAAAAAATATTCTTTAAAAAACCCACGCCTTATTGATCCTTAAAAATATATATTTTTTAAAACAATCCACGACTATTTGGTCCTTAAAAAATCACCTTTAAAATATCGAAATCCATTAAAATATTTTATTAGAAAACACTTTAATATCGTCATTGAAAAACATCTTTTGTAAAAAATCGAAGCCTATATATTCCTTGAAAAAATCTTCTTTAAAAAATCCACGACTACATTAGGCTTGAATGAAAAATTTAAGCATATATGACCATATTCTTTGAAAAAATCCAAGACTATGTGGACCTTAAAAAATCTTTTTTAAAACATCCACGATTATGTGGGCCTTAAAAAATCTTCTTTATAAAATTCACACCCATAAAGTTCTTGAAAAAATCTTCTTTAAAAAATCAAGTCTTTGACTGTCGCCTTTATTGTCTTTAAATAAATAATCTTTTTAATCCCCGCCTATAAAAAATCTCCCCAGTCTTTAAAAAATCCCGCCTATATAGTCCTTGGAAAATCTACTTTGAAAAATCCCGCCTATATGGTCCTTGGAAAATCTACTTTGAAACATCCACGCCTATATTGTCATGGAAACAATATTCTTTGAAAAATTTACTCTTAGAAAAAATCTTCTTAAAAAATCTATTTCTATAATGTTCTTATAAAATCCACACTTATATGCCATTAAAAACTATTTTTAAACCAGTAAGGAAAGTAGTAAAGTCGGACGGGATCGACTATATGATACCCTTCACCAATTTGGATATATTCAACAGATGAATCCTAACAGACGTCGCATTTTTAAAAGACCAATAAAATGAAATTGGATCCATGAATATGTCATTCTGCAACCGATACTAAATTTTTCATTTGGTCTGATATGGAAGCTATATCCAAATCTGAAGCGATTTCAGGAAACTTAACACACATAATTTTAGACCTAATTAATTACGCTGTGCTAAATTTCGTGCAAACCGACAGATATTAATGGACTTTGGTACACCATTTACCTTAAATCGGACGAAAATATATATGGGAGCAATATATATAAATCTGAACCGATTTTCACGAAACCTAACACACATCATTCTAGACCTAACTCATTACACCGTGTCAAATTTCGTGGAAATCGAAAGAAATATATGGACTTTGGTGCACCATTTACCTTAAATCGGACGAAAATATATATGGGAGCTATATCTAAATCTGAACCGATTTTCAGGAATTCGGTCATTCTAGACTTAATTCAGTACGCTATACTAAACTTCGTGCAAATCGAACGATTTTCAGAGACTTTGGTGCACCATTTACCTTAAATCGAACGAAAATATATATGAGAGCTATATCTAAATCTGAACCGATTTTCACGAAACCTAACTCACGTCATCTAATTCATTACGCCGTGTCAAATTTCATGCAAATCGAAAGATATATAGGGGCTTTGGTGCACCATTTACCTGAAATCGGTCGAATATATATGGGTGCTATATCTAAATCTGAACCGATTTTCAAAAAAAAATACACACATAGTTCTAGACTCAATTTGTGCAAATTTCATCCAAATCGGATCATAAATGCGATCTGTACTTTGTTCACAAAAATACATGGACGGACATGCGTAAATCGACTTAGAAAGTGAATCTATGCCTATTCTCAAAAGGAACCATGTGTCTCGTTTCCATTTGCCTCTTACAAGGGTATAAAAAATTCGCGCCTATATTGACCATACAAATATTTATTTTTTTTTTCAAATCCAGGACCATATTGTCATTGCAAAATATTCAATAAAAAAAATGTATTCTTAAAGATTACATCGGAGTTTTCATCGTAGATCTATTAAAGGCCTAC